GAGGCCAGGTGTACCACTGTAGTGGGAATGGGTCGGTAGACCTGGCCTCCGGAGGCCGGAGACCAGGTGTACCACTGTAGTGGGAATGGGTCGGTAGACCTGGCCTCCGGAGTCCAGAGGCCAGGTGTACCACTGTAGTGGGAAGGGGTGAGTAGACCTGGACTCCAGAGTCCGGAGGCCATGTCTGCCAATCTAGTGGGAAGGGGTGGGTAGACCTGGCCTCTGGAGGGGGGGCACTCCAGGGCAGGGGGGTAATCGAGCCAGGGGGTGGACGGGGGTGGAGGAGATGGGAGAACCGGCGGGATAGGGGGGGAACTTACCTCCTCCTGCTGCTTCCTCCTCTTCCTCATAGTTGTGGAGTTCCCCCTCTCCCGCGAGTATCGCGGGTCCCCCCCTTGTTTAATATAATGCATATACCATGTTTTGTCACTTTAACAGCTGCTTCCTCTTTTAAAAGGTTTAAGCCCCCCCCCCACTATAAAGTTAACAGAGACCTACTTAGGAGGTAAAAAGAAAATAACCGCTTACTTTGTATTTTTGATTGCCACCTAAATATGCTCCTTTCGGGAGAGAACTGGGGTTCTGATTTTCAGACTTGAAACTGTTTTGTTGCCGTCCATTCAATTGCTAAATCATCAATTGAGAAAGTAAAGTAGCTTTTCACTTTTTTTCTGAAATAGTTAACTTACTGATGGTTTTTCATCAGAATGACCCTGCACCACCTCAATGGTCATAAAGTCAAATCAAATTTTGTTGAAAAAGGAGAACCCATTTCCTTGCCAAACTGTTCCACAGTTCTGTTTGTGTTCAAACTGCTCTCTATAGCTGAATTCAGACTGCTTTCAGTCAAGGTTGAAATCTAATTCTGTCAGCACTAAATCCTTGTTCTGTCAGGGCTATTCACAGACAGTATATGTCTCTTTCTCAGCTAAAGCAGGAATCTGACTGGCTCTCCTCAACATCCAACTCTCTCAAGACTTTCTTTGCTCAGCTGATACTAACCAATCAAAATGCTTGGAACAGTCTGTCACTCTAGGCTCTCTGGCTTTATGTAGAATTAACCCTTCACAGTCCTTTGGTTGTTGGCACAGCACTTCTAAGCCTCTTAAAAGTACAGTCCGTCACTGTTGCCCTTCCCCAGTGTCCAAGAACAGAGCTATGATCATTCTAGCTACTACCTAGTGTAAAGCTGGATTAATCTGTCCTAGTTACTATTACTGTAATCAGAAAACTTTGTTTAAACTTTACCATGAAAACCAAAACATTTAGTTAGCACCCACTGAGACCTAGTTTGAGCAACGGCTCAGTTTCTGTGATTTAATTTGAAGAACTAAATGTGGACTTACTCGAGTTGGAACAAAGAGGGAACGAGGGGAATGGTTGAGGCCTCCTAGATGTGCTTTTTGCGAAGATACAGAACATGATTCAGGTGAACATGAGCTGTAGGGACTCACAGCTGGCTGGGGTTTAACTATGGCTGTTAGCTTCTGGTTTCCTGTTTCAGACCGATGGCCATGAGAAAGATTAATTAAGGCACTGGCTGGCATGCGGTACCCTCTGGCTGGTGAGCACCTAAAGGAAAATTTAAAAAAAGCTAATAAAGTTTTTTGTGTTAGTATATTTTCAAAAACTCTTATAATGCTACAAATGGAAGCTAAGGTTAATCTAGCAAAACTAGTATACAGAACTCTATTCTAAGAAACCTGGGTTCAGATCCCACTTTTTCAAAGACCACTGGGTGATATCATGCTTTTGACTTACTATTCTTTCTCATCTATAAAATAACCAGGAAAATAGCCAGGAAAAAAGTTGAAGAAAAATAATGAATTCTAATATAACAAGGCATGCCAAGGTAAACACAGCCCAATTTGAAACAAATACACACACAAATAAAACTGTGTTTATACATTGTCTGTATTATATATGTGTGCATTTGTTTCAAACCAGTTGGCTGCTTTTGTCTTTACATACTGCGTGCATTAGGTATCTTCATGATTTCTCCTCTTTTTTGTTTTGTTTTTCTGCCTCAATGATAAAAAAGAGTAACTTACTGCTTTTTACAGTGTTCTTGTTAGAATTAATTAATAAAGGTTGTAAAAACTTGCTCACTAGAAATGTTGAACAAAATCGTAAAGAATACATTTCTGTGCAATATTATATCTTTTCATACAAGTTCATGCATCACACTGAAAAAAGATGTTCCTAACTTTATCTCTACAAACCTGAGTGTTAAGCCTCCATGAAACTCTTCATCAAACAGTACTTCATATAGCACATCAGATTCTCTGCTGGCTGGAAAAAAACCCAAAGAACACAATAAATAATAATTAAGGATGAAATGGGGTACTAATGAAAGAGAAACGTTATTGCTTAAAGGCTGCTAGTCTCATCTTCAAATGCTAAACTGTAGGACTCGGTGGTGTTTCATGGGTTTTAGGTCTTGCATTCGAGAAATTAGGTCTTGCATTCGAGAAATTAGAGGGTGCTTAAGCTGGTGGTTCTTGTGTGACATATAGCTGACCAGGAACTGGAATACTTGGAATACTGTGTTCATTTGGAATACTGTGTGCAGTTCTGGGCACCACACCTTAAAAAGGATATTATAGCTTTGGAAAAAGTGCAGAAAAGGGCAACTCGAATGATAAAAGGGTTGGAACACTTTCCCTATGAGGAAAGGTTAAAGCGCTTAGGGCTCTTTAGCTTGGAGAAAAGACGACTGAGGGGTGACATGATCGAGGTTTATAAGATTATGCATGGGAAAGAGCAGGTAAAGAAAGAGGTACTTTTCTCCCTTTCTCACAATACAAGAACTCGTGGGCACTCAGTGAAATTGCTGAGCGGTCGGGTTAGAACGGATAAAAGGAAGTACTTCTTCACCCAAAGAGTGATTAACACATGGAATTCACTGCCACAGGAAGTGGTGGGTGCTACAAGCATGGACGGCTTCAAAAGGGAATTAGATAAGCATATGGAGCAGAGGTCCATCAGTGGCTATTAGCCACAAGGTATAGCTAGGGGCTCTGGGGCAAGTGATGCTCTGTCTTCTTGGTGCTTGGGGGGGGGGTCAACAGTGGGAGGGCTTCTAATGTCCTGGCCCCACTGCTGGACCTCCTGATGGCACTGGTATTTCTGGCCACTGTGTGACACAGAGTGTTGGACTGGATGGGCCTTTGGCCTGATCCAACATTGGCGTCTCAAAAAAAAAAAAAAAAAAGAAGGAACCAAACAGCATTTCAAATCTTATGTCAGGGTTGGCATTCTATTCTATTGCCCAATCAAATATTACTGCCCATTATTTGACTGTGGTCAAATATTACCAAATACTCTCTGAAGCCAAGAATGCCACTATGCAAGTGACAGCTTTCCTTCTTTATTTAATTATGGTATTTATTAGTGAGGGCAAGAGAGGGGGCTATTTGCCCCCTAAGTGCTGTAGCAGGTGGGGCAAACTTAGCAGTACAGCAGTGCTTCTCTTACTGGCCATTTGCTATAACTTCAGGCATCTCCAAACAAGAAGAACTGGCCCATTGTCTACTTAGCCCAATTGCCCTTAAAACCAACTTCTGTTCATATGGCATTGCCCTATTTCTTTTTTTAAAATTTCATTTTTAACATCTTTTTTGAACCTGTAGCTTAAACCTGGCTTTCAGGAATAAAACATTGAATAGGCCCATGAGAGTTGTTGATAATTATAAAAGCCTTGGCTGTCAAAAGTTATAATTCATTTCATTTTCTAAAACAGGTAGTCTCAATTCTTTCACAAAACTTAACCAGTTAATACAATTAGCATAAGCACCAAACTAGTTATTAAAGTGTCTTTGTTGCAGTTTCAACAAAGTTGATGCTATATAGAAATACGTAACCAATATTTGACCACACAATTGATCAAATCTTTTTCTGACTAGTCAAATGGCCAACAGTAGTTTACTGAATTAATTAATCAAAAAATGGAGAGGTCCTTCAAAAAAATGAATGTCACCTAACATGTTGTACAGATGCTTTCTAAACAGGCTGGTACATTGTCAGTGGCTCTTTTGACATTTGTTCTTAATTCATTGATTTATGCATTCTAGAGAGGTGCTAGTACAAACACAAAGTCTTGGGGCACTTTTACAATGACTGCAGCATAAACTTTCAAAGACCAGAATCCTCTCCCATCAGATGCATGAAATTGTCAGCTAAGGTGGTATGTATATCCCAAGTACAGAAAAAGAAGAAAAAAAACTTTTTTACAAAATGAGGCTAGAAGTTAAGCAGAGCAAGTGATAGCTGTAGGTTTGTCTCAGTACTTTGCATAACTTAAAGGAATACAGAATCCACAAAGTATAGCCCCACTGATGGACCTCCTGATAGCACCTGGGTTTTGGCCACAGTGTGATGCAGGGTGTTAGACTGGATGGGCCACTGGCCTGATCCAACATGGCTTCACTTATATTCTTAGGTTTTGTTCATTTGACTGGATTCTTTATTTGTTTGTTCACTGCACTGTACTGTATTAAGCATTACTGCTACCTAGCGCACTGCTCAATCTCTTAGCCTCATTTTGTTAAAACTCCCCTCCCCTCAATTTTCTTCTCCTTTTGATACTCAGGGAATACTCAGGAGAGAGGACCTTTTAAGTGGTAGCCCCACAATCATGGAACAATCTCGATCTTCAGGAGTCAGTTGAACAGTTTTATTGAGGACTGCATTTGACTGATTTAGTCTTTATTTACTGGGAGTCCTAAATGGAGTTTTTAAAATCTAAATTGTGACCTTTTATGTGTTTTTAATTGTTTTATTTATATTGTTTTAATGTTTTTATAATAGTTATATTGTAAGCTGCCTTGAGTTCTATAAAGGCAGCTAATAAATGTTTTAAATAAATAAAATATACATAATCAGGTAGTCAACTGGGAACAAAGCTGATCTGGATTACAAGAGCTTAAGCCACAATAAAGTTTTACCTGGAAGATGCATGATACTATTTTGATCCAAAAAGCATCAAGACTCCTATCAGCCTCTAAAGTATGTTACATCTGAGGCATCTACAGAGTCTCTGTAATCCTGGGAGCAAAAAAATCCTAAAACCAAACCAAATCATGCTTCTTATTACCTTTGTACCTCTTTCCCCCTAGTATAAGGACCTCTCATTTATGGTGATATTCTCTAAAAGTGCTACATAAATAAGCTAAAGCATTAGCACATTTCACTTGTCAGCAAAAATTTATATCATAAAATTTTAAATAATGCATTGTTTTAAACTTGACATGGCCAATAAATGATTCTTATGTTCTTTTAAAAGCAGAGAGTTTGTCCATATATCAGTGATGTAATTTTACCTCCTTTAATTCCAATTATGGTACCACGAAGACCAATGGGAACTGAAAAGCTCTCTCTTACATTTACAACACGGTCAAACAGTCGATATTCTGCATCTCGGTCTGGTATGGTTCCATGCTGCTGTTCTAAAGGCTGGTAGGAATCAAGACTAATGAAATCACAGCAAGATGCCAAACATGTACTACTTTCAGACTTCACAACAAAATCAGTAACATATGTCACTAAAAATTAAATACATTGGCTTGGATTCCATCTAAATTCTACACACAGAAGCACCCCCAACCCCACCCCAGTAGCCAGAAATGCTGCTTCTGGGGCATGGAGGATCCACAGGAGCAGAAAGAGGGGAAGTTGGATTACTGCTGTTGGAGAGGACAATTGAGGGAGAGGAGAACCTTGTGCACGTGGTTCTTATTGCATACAAGTCTAAATCTCATTGAAAATCAACTTCAATAATACAGATCCCTACAACAAGGTAAGCACATTTTACGAGACTCTCTTATAGTCGAAATCCTGTCTCAAATGCTGATCCATAAAAATGCAGATTAGTTAAACTTTAACCTGAACTATTAAACACAAAAACTGACATATGAACTGACACATGGACAGGGTAACTGTATGGCTTTAAAGTATCGCTATGATTTCTTTATACTTTAAGGGACTTGAGGATGTGGAAGCAGAAGGTTTTGAAAGCGAAGTTTCTATAAAATCTAACCATTTTGCAAAGAATAGGGAATGTTTTTTGTCAGTTGCCCCGGGTTTTATAGAGATATTTATTTTTTTCTAGGGCATAGTATTCCCAAACCTTCATGTACCATTGGTGGAGAGTAAGTGAGTTGTTGCCTTTCCAATTACTAGCAATTACCACCTTGGCAGCCATCAGCAAAGTTGAAATTAAGTCCTTATGTATTGCAGGAATATTAATATCTTGCCATAAGTCTAACAATATCAATTCAGGGGGAAGAGGTAAGTCTACGTAATGGGATCTGACGCATTGTGTCAAAACGCAGATGAAATGGATCAACTACCAAAGCATTCTCATTCTGTTATCTAAGAAGCAGATGTATTTATCAGAGTATTACAATGAAGACTGCGCACACGGTTTTCCTCTGATTGTTTTATAATGTTTTAAATGTTTTATGTGGATTTTATGGTACTCTGTACTGACTAATGTAAGCTGCCCTGAGCCTGTTTGCAGGAATAAATAAATAAATAAATAAGATCATAACGTGTTCAAAGTAAATTTACATCAGTAGTATCTACATGGTGAATGAAGCTACTGTTGGTCTAAATACAGCAAGTTATCCATGGCATTTGTAAGATGCTTTATGCAACACCTCCAGAATTACACAGTTTAAAAACACACACATACACATCCAAACAAGCCAGAAGTAACTGCTGTGAAGGTGACATTAAAGTATGCCTCACTACTGTAGACAAGATAACACCTGACTATCATCGACAAATTTTACTACTGAACATTTTTAATTAATATTATAGTTTGAAGTATGACAGTCCAGAAGTCTTTATAAAACACAAAGAATTCCACTTTGGTCATATCTTACAAGATCTGTAATGAAACAGTCAAAACTTACTCTGTATAACAAGTGGGGTTTCACAGTCACACGTACTTTCTTATTACTTTTTCTTTGCTGAGGGAATACGAAACAAAAACTAATAAAACAAACCATTTTAGGATTGCATAACCCTACAAAAAATTATATTTTCCAGCACAAAGCAGCAAACCACTCTTCCCTTCTATACAAGATGACCAATATATTTGATATACAGCTAATCATGCCTAGAGATTAATGCCATCTTTCCCTGAGGAGACTTATGCATGAGCATATTGGTATTAAGAGAAAGACCATCAGGACTGTCATGGACAACTCAGAACTTAGGCAAGTCTAATATCTCAAATAAAATTAGACCTCCTGGGGGCCTCTGATATCCCCCAGACTAAAGGGAATTTATTTGGAAGGAATATACAACTATAGAGATTGGAAGGGGAAACCAATGTTTGTTTTCCAAACTACTGACTAAAATCCAGATAGCAACTTTGCAAATCCCAAGAATTTGTGCATAGTCAATAGGATTTTAGACTTGCTTGAAACTGCTGCCCCCTAAGACGCATCTCAAACTGCTAACAAGTATGCTTGCAGGGGAGGAGGGGAGAAAACTGACTGCTATTCAAGAACACAAACCTTACAGAAGCCTTGTTACAAAATCCTGGAGTTAGTACAGTGCAAGCACCAGTCTATTAATAGATCTGGTTCAAACCCTTGTATGGCTGCCTTAAGTTCCTATAAGGTAAAAAGGCAGGTAATAAATGTTTTAAACAAATAAACAATAAATCCCCACTCAGCCATGAAGCTCAATGGGTGATCAATCACCCTCAGACTAATTTAACTCACAGGGTTGTTGTGAGGACAGAGGAGAACCATCTGCGCAGAACTGAGCTCCTTGGAGGAACAGCAGGTAATAAGAATGTAATAGATTAAAAACTTTCCTAAGCAAGCATATACATGATTTCACTGGAATCATGCTATACATGATTTCACTGGAAAACAGGCTGGCAAACAGCTGATCAGGCCTAATAAGCTGGTAGAAGAGAAGAGGAAGAGATTGGATTTATACCCCGCCCTTCACTTGGAGTCTCAGAGCGGCTTACAAATTCCTTTCCCTTCCCCTCCCCACAACAGGCACCCTGTGAGGTGGGTGGGGCTGAGAGAACTCTGACACAAACTGCTCTTTTTCAAGGACAGCTGTGCCAGAGCTTGTGACTGACCCAAGGTCACATCAGCAGGTGCAAGTGGAGGAGTGGGGAATCAAACCCGGTTCTCCCAGATTAGAGTCCGTGCACTTAACCACTATACCAAACTGGCTCTCAGTCAGTAATACTGCCAACATCTTTTTCCAAGTTGCTGAAACATATAAAGCAGCTTGTAATTCAAAGTTAATCTGCAATTATTTTGCCAGTTAACTGAGTACCGATTTCTAAGCACTAGTGGAATTTGTCATAAATAACTTACTGTCCCTTTACTAGAGAAAGCCATTAGAGAGCCAGTGTGGTGTAGTGATTAAAGTGTTGGACTAGGATCTGCTAAACCCAGGTTTGAATCCCCCCTCTGCCATGGAAGCTTGTTGGGTGACCTTGGGCCAGTCACATACTCTCAGCCTAACCTACCTCACAGGGTTGTTGTGAGGCTAAAATGGAGGAGAGGAGAACATCGAAAGCCACTTTAGGTCCTCATTGGAGAGAAAGGCAGAAAGTAAATAATGAAATAAATTATACTAAATATTGTTATTATAAGACACATCTGTAGTTCCTCTGCCTTTTTTAAAAAAAAGTACCTTGCACTTTTCTATTTCTTCTTCAATCTTCTCAACAATAGCAGCATCCAGAATTTGTAAATCACAAGAAGAACGAGAAAGAGTGCTAACAGGATGAGCCTTTAGCCATGCAACGATTTCTTGAACTTTTTCAGCACTAGATTAAGAATTATTCCATATTAATAAACATCCCCAAGAATTACATTTAAAGTTAATTTTTACATTGCCTAAAATACAGAAATACTGTTGAATAAAGCTTGTATAGCAGTTATCCATTGTACAGCAAATTCAATTGCTGAGCTTACAGACAGTTAAAAGTATAAAACTGAGTTTGCCCTGTCTAGTTATAGTTATATCCAAATAATTATTTACTAGCTTACTATAATTATCTACTGTCCCTATAATTATTACAGTGAAGACCCTAATGATTTAAACTGGCTATGCTAATAAATAATTTTGCCTTAGAAAATAAAAAAGCAAGATTCCATCCACTAAAAATCATCGCCAAAAACAGCTTTCCATTACTGTAGCACAACTTCCGCTCTTGTCAAACTTCTCTTCTTCAATAAATGCATGACTTGTTTTCAGGTTACTACAGTACTTGAGTATTTTAAATTTTCTGATAAAATGAGAGATGAAATGTCTGAAATCTATTGATTATATTGACTCTGGATAATCTGCCTTGAGTCTGCCTTGAGTCTGCAAAATAAATCTCCAGAACTGCACAATCCACCTCCTGTGAAGATTTCCAAGGCTTTTCAGTTTATTTACAGTTAAGTATAGGTGGTATAAGTGAGTAAGTGTTAAACGTTAAGGATCCCCATGGGATCTTCTATCAAATCCAAAATGGATCCAGGGATTTATCTATTGTATTTTCAGAAGGTATGAACTTCTTACCCATTCTCTTCTTCACCAGGCCAAATATCATCTTCATAGAATATATCTTCTTGACTGTTTTTCGCTACGTAGCTGAAAAGTTCTGGGACCCTAATGAATACAGAAATAAATCTGAGTAAATTTCCTAACATCTCTGGGAAAATTCTCAAGATCTTAGCTTATTGGCAGAACACTGAGCAGGTGCAACAGAACAGCAGATTGAGTACTGAAAAGAGATTTGGGATCCAAGATGCAATGTCTTATAATATTTTGGGATATTTTTAGTGCATAATTGATCTCAAATGTGGCATGACCAAAATTCAGAATTCAAAACCGAGACTTCTCTCTCTCTTATTTGTATAACTTATTTGGACCATGGGAAATACGTACTGTACATCATGCTGTTAGCACTTGGTAAAATGTTGCTATTTGTACAGTATGTTGGCAGTAAAACAAATAGTATCTAATAACGACCCAAAGAATGCAAAACTCTTGGTGGGAGGCTCCTTGTGCCAGTGGCAGAAGTTTCCTTACAGCAATGGAATGCAGACTTTGGATCTAACATATTTTCCAGGGAGAACAAAGCTTAGCAGAACCTATAAAGCTTGTAATTTGTTGCCATTTTTATTCTTCTATCACCAGAAAGGATGAATGGGAAGTACACCAATCTCAAAGTGGTTGGGACAAGCTATTCAACAAAGGCAGACAACTGTGCTGACCCCATGGTCAACAAATTTTAACCACATCTGCTGCAAAAATAGAAATCTCAGTCATGGGGAAGTGAGGGGAAAAAATCAAGAATGGTATGACTCATGTAAGCTTATATGTTTCTGGCAAATAAACTGAGATACAGCCACTCCACCTTATTGATTATTGTTGCCAGAATATCTGATAGGGTGAAGAAAACATATTTCACTGGCTGTATTCTTTATTTTTTGAAATTCAAGGCTGCCTTTCCCTGCTAATGTAGGCTCAAGAAAACCTAAACAAAAACTACTAATATAAATAATGCCATCAATAAAACAGAAATAAATGCACCTACAATATTAAACTTAATATTAGTTTATACAGTGGACTGTTATGATGCAAGATGTATCCAATTTAATACCTTTCTAAATATTCAGCAAGGAGTTGTTCTACTGCAGAAGAATACATCCACTCATTTCCAACTTTCTTAGTATATCCAGGGACTTCTTCATTCTTTTTATTGAATTTTAGGTTCAGCCCCACATTTGCTTTATGGTCTCCATGCAGACTGCAAAAGAAAGTCAGATCAAGTTGGGGGGGGGGGCATATAAATAAACAGAGATAATTCCCTCCCAATGCCACCCCCCATAGACCTGCCACTTTTCCTGCTTCCTTCTCTCCTATCCACCCACCAAACAAATCTACTTTTATATAACCCCCGCACCCACTTTTCAGCTTTCCCTCCTTTTTTCCTTCCTTGTGCAGCCTCTTTCCTATCCTTCTAACTACATTTTCAATTCCCCCCCTCCGTTTCAGCTTCTTCTCCTCTCCCCTGTCCCTACTTCTTTGTCCCTCCAAGTCTTTTTTGGTCTCTCCCCTCCCTGCCTTTGACTGAGAAACCAAGGCTAGGAAGGCTCAGCAATAGCGGTGGTCATGGAGCTCTTAGAACATAGTATAATGAGAACTCAGTGGGCATTTGTCTCATAAAACTACAGGCATTGCTTCTATTAGGGGGTTAACCCTGCAAATGTATTTTTATTTCAGATTTTTCTATGAACCTGGGGCTTCCCTCAGACTTCTAGAACAGTCCCTCCTGTGTCTCTGGCCCCACTGTGTAGATTTTTGGATCCTCAGTGCAGCAGTTTTCTATTCTGACTTTCCTCTCCATTGCCAAACATAAAGCAAATGAAGATGCAACACACAGGCAGAACCCCTTCCCTTTTCATTTCTATCATCAGAATCAAACTTCAGAAGAGCTAGTGGTAACCAGGTAATAGCACCTTGGTAGTTCATAGTAAAAGCTTTTCTAGATCAAATCAAGCCTGAAGCTAAAATGACTAAACTGAGGCTACCATACTTTGGTCACATTATGAGAAGACAAGACTCACTAGAAAAGACAATGCTAGGAAAAGCTGAAGGCAGCAGAAAAAGAGGAAGACTCAACATGAGATGGATTGATTCAATCAAGGAAGCCATGGCCCTCAGTTTGCAAGACCTGAGCAAGGCTGTTAATTATTATTATTTTATCCTGTTTATATCCCACTCTGTATTGACAGGACATTTGGTGTGACATTAATTCACAGGGTTGCTCTAAGTTGGAAGCGACTTAATGACACTTAACACATACAGCTCTAGCTTTAATTCACATACACAATTAGTTGTCTCACGGCAAAGAAGTTTACAGAAAACTTACCTTTTCCTGGATCCTCGTCCAACAAAAATGCTTCCGGTAAACCTAGACACAAGATAGCCGCTTATACCAAGACGGGAAGCCAAAACATACCCAGGATTGTACTTCACAGAATATTTCTGCATAAACAAACAAACAAATGTCTGTAACTGAAAAAATGAAGTAGTCTTTTTGGAATCTGAGTCACTTCTCTGTTTAACATGTTATCTTTTGATCCTTAGGCTTTGAGAGGAAGAAACAAAATACAAATAACCATCAGCAATAAATTTCGCTATCATGACCTCTCAATTTCCACAATAAAGCAAGCATCGAATAAGCTATCGTTAAGATTGATCTGGCATTGGGGTTTCTTGTACTCTTGATCTGGCAATTTGCACTAAGTGGTAATCCAGGAAGAAGTTCCACAAAAGAAGAAAACCTCATGGAACCCAGAGCTGTCTTGGCTGGCGTTATGTTTTCAACCTGCAAGGATTATACCATCCACACATCTGCAGAATGTTTATACAGAGTCTTCAAGGCAGAGAAGGAGACCTGTGTGTTCTAAGAATGTGCAGTCAACATGGTAACTAATGAAAACCTGAAACAAATACATCCAACTATTCAATATCATTATAACTAATCCAAACGGAAAGATTAGCAGGTAATATCAGAAAGCATTCTGATCTCACCATTATTCCGGCACCTGGCTAATACAGCTTCTGAAGACATATATCCACTTACGTGCTGATTCTGTATTAAGGCATCCAGTTGAGGTTCACATGGGATACTGAAAACAACACGAATTCTACCTTCTGAGATCACATCACATGAATCTTGAACCTTTATAAAAAATGAAAAATGTCAATGGGATGCATCCTAATGATCACCAGGGCAGCTAAAAGGGCTCACTGTATTTTTGAGAGGACAGAGGTCTCCAGACTGCATACACAGTTTGCCAAATGCACTTTGAAAACAGGCTGCTTGGTGAATGGGCAAGGGAAGGGAGCTTGGGGTCCCCAACATTTTAAAACCAAAATGGGTTTCCTGTAATTGCTAAATTTCAGAACTGCTAGACACCCAAGTATTCCAACCTAGTTTAGGTAGCCTGTTAGGTAGGAGCAGTTACTGTTTCATCAAAGAGTCATTCTTGATTTTTAGAAAAATCTTTTGGAACTGTTTTTTCAGGGTATTTAAAACTAACTTCTCCTGTGCACCCATAGTAAGGTGTTCCCAGCATGAAGACGGTACATCCAAGAGGGAATAGGTCATCCAAAGTGTTGATCTTAGAGAAGCGGGAATCGAAAGCTTTTATATCCTGTATGAAAAAACAGAAAAAGTTCAATTAAGGATTAAGCATAACCATATAAGCTTGAATCCCATTCTACAATTATAAGAGCAGAGATATCCTTTCACTGTCTGTGTGTGGGGGGGGATGAAGAGTTTCAGCAAATCTCTTTTTCCTCTACAGCACTGCATAGCATTTCATGCTGTTTTATGCCTTCATTCTCAGGATTTGCTTTTCCAGGATGCAGAGGGTTTCAAAGCAGGAAACTATTGCTCTATTATAAAGCTTAATTTGGAAGATATTATTTTTACCATTTCCATTCCAATTGAAGCCCTGGGACTGGTATGAACAATTCCTTAACATTATGATGTTAATATGCTATACTATGGATTTGGGACTCTGACCCTTAAATTCCACAGCAGACTCTGATCCATGACATCAGGCTACTTACTGAAGGCAAGGGCAGATGATAATATCCCTTCAATGTGTACCATGGTACAAGATTAGGAGGGTGATGGTGACAGTGAAATTTAAGCTAGAATTATGCTCCACAGCCCTGTCTCTCAGAGGATGCAGAGCTCTAGTAGGACTGCAGACTACAGTGGGAATGAAGCAACAGGTTTGTGGACTTCAACTGTACAAGTGTATCCTACAACAGTTAACTTTTTCAGAGCTTAAAGGTTTTTTAAAAAATATACTGAATTGGCAAAAAGCAACGAACCCTTGAAAATTACCTGACATGAAGTCATAAAGACTGGACTGGCAAAATAAAAAAATGGGGGAACTCACCTTGACAATTGTTTGGTATGCAAAAGGCAGAACTTGCTTGGACCACTGTTTCTCCAAACATACTTTGCCACCTTGATTCAACTGGTATCTACGCCCAGTGAGTAACTGTGCATATATAATTACAGAGGTCTCATTTATAATGATACCTTTTCTTCTTTGGTAGCTGATGGAAAGAGGAAACAGTAGATTAAAAGGTGTGTACTTGAAGAAAAAAAGGAACAAATATTGTCGCCTTAATTTTACAATTCACCCTCTTTCTGAAGAGCTGATACTCTATAACTACCAAAGTAACATCCATTTTACAAGATACTCTGGACAGAAAGACATTTCCAGCCCTCTACTTCTACATTACACATAGCAAAAAGATGAACTACGGCCAGAGTAATATCCATGCTAGTCTATAGCAGAAAAAAACAGAAGTTTCTGTAGATGGGAACCCACTTTGTCACAGACATGTAATGGATCTTCACTAGGCAGGCAGATATATGTTTCTACATTATTATAAATATGCTATGAAGAAAATTTGCTAACAGCAGGGCTAAAGGGCCATGGAAAGCAGGAATTACAAGGTGAGAAATAAAGTTCAACTGTAATCAGTAAAACACAGCAGCTATTGTGAATTACTATTATACTAATACTATTGTGAATGCGTTCTGTACTTTCAGCAGCCACCTTGAATCTAAGGCAATAAGGTGTTATATAAACTTTGAATAAGTGAAAGGGATGTTGCCGCCCTCCCAATAAATGAAAGCAGCAGTGTATCACAAGAAGCTTTCCTGTTATAAAGATGAGATGCAGAATCTTACTGTTCTGAGATCCCCTGGATTTCTTTTATCCATGTATTCCGCTCTTTATCTCCAACATATGATACTTTAGTCGGTGGCACAGCATTTTCTGTATAAAGTTTATGTGTTCCAGGAGGCTCTTCTGAATTAAACCTTAAAGTTAAGTATGCAGATGAATAATGCAAAACAAAAAATAAACCTACATTTGCAAAAGTAAATCTCAAACACAACTATTGGGAATTTACTAGCAAATGCACTTAAGGCAGCAGGTATAACAGAAATACATTTCTAATGCTACCAATAAAACTTAACTAAATTGCAGAAAAACAAACTCACTATGATTTGAGTAACGATAATACAGCTGGTTTTTTTTCATCACTTTTTCATCAAGGTTAAGTGTGGCTTGTCTCCAGTAAGCAGAGAGGACAGTAGGTGACTAACACTTCAATACAAACCAGTAATATTTCTACAGGCATATTGAAACATGAATATTAAAAAGAGTATATCAAGAATTACTATGATAGCTATTTTTCCAAGATCATACCACCCTAGGTGAAGTTTGTTTTAAATACTTTCTAATGTAGTTTCTCTTACTTTGTTTCGCCATCTGATACAGCGACAGCTCTTGCTTCCTCCAGGTGTGGCCAATTTACAAAAACCGATTTCCCTAGCACCAGACTGGCAACATTTTCTACACTCTAAAGAAGAAAAGCGTGTGACTCAAGATGGCAAAGCTAATCAAGGACAAACATTAAAATAATCGGCAGTACAGCATAGACCATTTATAGACATAAGTGAAATACATCATATTACAACGGTTCAAATTTGGGTTTGTTTCGTAACACAAAAAATCAGTTTTTTTAATGTACTTGATTGTGTTTCATTTTTAGAGCTGAATCACTTGTATGTGAAGAAGAAGCTTATTCAAATCTGGATTGAACAAATATGCTTTAGATTTAGAAGAAATAGCAATAATTGAATACTTTACATCTAAGGTTGTATATAAAAGCAGGAGTTAAACTCATATGGATTGGTTGGTCAGATTCTCTACCCAGGCCCACAGTGATATTTTTTCTCCCAAAAATATAATTTAGAAACCAGACTACAATTTTTTTCTTCAGAAAGTAACTGTAGAATCAGATATTGTTCCTGCAGCACTGGCAAGACACCAGATTTTAAACATTCATAGCATGAACACGATATGCACATGTTTGCCTTGCTGCTTGCTACCTGAGCTTGGAGATCACAAGCCTCTAGGAGTATGTAGAGTGCTTTACAGCCTTTCCCCCTGCACTCTAAATTCCATTTACTCTGCCCAACCAAGAGTTTAAAACATGCAAATAATTATAGAGAGTCACCACTTCCCTTTGGTGATGAAATACTTTTGTCCTGGACCGTAGGATGCCACAGAAGGGGCAAAAAAAAACTTTTCAGAGAAGAGATTAACATGCACTTCTTGGTCATTGGTGAACAATTAATGGAGAGTGTAATTGGAGTTTAGATTCAGCCTTCAAATCTATGACACTAGCCCCCCAAAACTATTTCTTGGCACTAGGATTCAACTGTGCATAGATCATATAGTGGTATGGTAACATCCTTCTCAGGCAGATAACTCATCTTTTACATGGTTGAAGTGGTTACCTAAAAGCTCCCTAGAGGAGGCTTTCTCTCATTGTATAATTCCTTCCTATTTCCTTTGTGCTTTTAATGCAAATGTACATAACAGATAATAAATACTGTCAATAAATCTTCACAATGGCACATTGTGACTCTCCTCTACTAAGACCTTCTCATAAAACAAAACTTCTTGAAAGACTATGGTGCAGCTGATGTAGTGTAGTAGCTGTGAGGTTCAGCTATGCATCAAAATGCTCTGGGTTCTAATCTTGCCTCTGCCAGGAATTCACTAGGTAAACCTCTCTCAGCTTCAGCCCTGCACTATGGGAATAACACTCACCTATCTTACAAAGCAGTTGTAACGATTACAAAGATAAGGTATGTGAAGAGCTTTGAATATTGAAAAGTACAATACAAGAGCAAGGTATTATTATTTAAAAAGCCAAACACTCACCAGTTCCTTTGACTCTTCATCATCAACTGTTATTTCTAACAGCATATTTTCTCCATGGCTGCTCTGCTGAAATACTTGTACCCCACTTTTTCTAAGATAGAACTGAAACAGAGGAAGAAAAATAATCCTTAGACTAAGTGCTATCCACAGAATAAACATCTGACCAAAATAAATGTGATGTTTTACTTTACCTTATGTTTAATGTGCTTCAAAGTAGGAAAGCCACAGAAATACAGCTTCCCTAAATCCACTTTAGTTATTTTATTATGGGATATATCTACATGCCAAGTATCCAAAGATATAGCTTTATGCCTACAAAACAAGATCACAGAATCACAAGAAGCTTCAACACATAGCTACCCCCAGATGTACAACATAAATATTGCTTTTAAAAGCATTTCAGGAAGTACTTTGCCGAATGACCCTTTCATCTTCATTTCTCTGTGCCTCCCCACCTCCTCCTGTAAAAATCAGTGAGGATCAGGGGACCATCAAAAAGATGTGAAAACTGTGGAATTAGAGAACAAGTGCGCTCTTCTTTTGCATGAGCTCCTGTGCTAATTGGAACAAGACTGTATGCAAGAGAGGGGAGATTTCTGCAGATTCCCTCTTGCTACAGATTCCCCCTTGCAACCCGCATCATTCCCAAGAAACCAACCCTAAGGAGCAGCTCTGGGGAGCAAAGAATACTGCAGTGGGAAGGGGCAATCAGCAGAGATCCTTTCTGTGAAATCTGCTCTGTTCACAGTGGTTTGGATCCAGTGCCTTTCATAATTAATGAACACTGTAAACCATTACACTATTTCCTTATGGCTACTTGCCACCTATAATGAAAGGATTACGTACTGCTGAAGAATCCTTCACCAAGGATAAAGAAAAACTGGGCTGCACCCAGCAATGTGCCAGCAGAACAAAAAGGAAAAAATGCCAGGTGATAGGTGACTGATTAATTATACAAAGTCCCTATGCGTTTCGCCATGCCGGCTTTGTCAGGGGAAATCTATAAAAGCATAATTTTGTATTTAATATGGATAATAGAAAGACCCCTTGATAAAAATTACTCCAGATTAAAATTAATTTCAAAAAAAAAACACATATTGGTCAATATATAATATGAGATAAACTATACATTGAACATGAAGCAAGACAATGAAAAATATATGAAGTAAACACTGACCAGATTCACCTAGTGCTGGAATTATCTGCAGCAATTAAATTCTTTTATTGTGGGGAATGAAACAGTGATTAGCTGAGCAAGGACAGAAGTCCAAGATCAGAGTTTAACCCATGAGGTGTCAAAGTATGCAACCTTAAAATCCACTCCAATTCCTTTTTTAACAAACTTTTTCATTATGATGGTAAGATTTATATAAACCCCCAAAATTAAAATCAGTGGGTCCATAAGAACATAAGAGAAGCCAACATTGGATCAGACCAATGGCCCATCCAATCCAACACTCTGTCACAGTGGCCAAAAATACCAGGTGCCATCAGGAGGTCCAGCAGTGGGGCTAGGACACTAGAAGCCCTCCCACTGTTACCCCCCCCCCCAAGCGCCAAGAATACAGTGCATCACCTGCCCCAGCCTGTGAGTTCCTATCTATACCTTGTGGCTAATAGCCACTGATGGACCTCTGCTCCATATGTTTATCTATTTCCCTTTTGAAGCCGTCCATGCTTGTAGCCCCCCTCCCCTCCTGTGGCAGTGAATTCCATGTGTTAATCACTCTTTGGGTGAAGTACTTCCTTTTATCTGTTCTAACCCGACCACTCAGCAATTTCATGGAGTGCCCACGAGTTCTTGTATTGTGAGAAAGGGAGAAAAATACTTCTTTCTCGACCTGCTCTATCCCATGCATAATCTTATAAACCTCGATCATGTCACCCCTCAGCCATCGTTTCGCCAAGCTAAAGAGCCCCAAGCGCTTTAACCTTTTTTCATAGGGAAAGTGTCCGAACCCTTTTATCATTCTAGTTGCCCTTTTCTGCACTTTTTCCAATGCTGTAATATCCTTTTTGAGGTGTGGTGACCAGAACTGTACACAGTACTCCAAATAAGGACGTACCATCGATTTATACATCAGTTTCGTGATCCTGTTTTTTGAGGATCATGAAACTGCAGAGGAAATCGGGCGAAGCCGCGGGTCAAATGCAGCCTCGCGGCTTCGGGTGTGAAATTGACCGATAGTATCGGGGCAAACGGTGGTGCAACATCGAGGCAGCTCTAGTGTGAAATCAGCCTTCATGTCATCTGCAAATATAGCCACTTTACTGTTTACTCCCAACTCCAAATCATTAATAAACAAGTTAAAAAGCACTGGACCGAGTACTGATCCCTGCGGTACCCCACTGCTTACCACCCTCCACTGAGAAAATTGCCCATTTATACTTATTCTCTGTTTCCTATTAATTAGCCAGTTTTTGATCCACAAAAGGACTTGTCCTTTTATCCTGTGACTATTCAGCTTACTTAGGAGTCTTTGATGAGGAACTATCAAAAGCTTTCTGGAAGTCATGGTAAACAACATCTATTGGGTCCCCCTTGTCCACATGTTTGTTCACTCCCTCAAAGAACACGAACAGGTTAGTGAGACAAGATCTTCCCTTACAGAATCCATGCTGAGTCTTCCTCAATAGTTTTTGTTCATCTATGTGCCTATTAATTCTTTCCTTAATAACAGTTTCCACCAACTTACCTGGTATCGAAGGCAGACTGACTGGCCTGTAATTTCCCAGATCTCCTCTGGAACCCTTTTTAAAGATGTGAGTGACGTTAGCTACCTTCCAGTCCTCAGGAATGGAGGCGGATTTTAATGAAAGATTACATATTTTTGTCAGGAGATCCACAAGTTCACATTTGAGTTCTTTCAGAACTCTCGGATTTTTGCCATCCGGACCTGGTGATTTATCAGTTTAAGTTGTCTATCAGTCGTAGGACCTCCATGTTCTTTCTCCATAAAATGCTGTACCGGAGGTACACCATTTTGCAAAGGATGTTGCTCCTATGTTCTGTTATGCATGTCTTTAATTTTCTAGAGATCATCCCTACATAAATCTTATTGCAAGAACATCGGATGGCATATACAACCTTATCTGAATTGCCTATTGTGAAGTTACTTATTCTTTTTAATCAAAGGGATTGATAAAACTTTTCATATTTTGAGTTAGGTTACAACATCTGCAGTGTCCACATCTAAAATGGCCTATGGGCAAACCTGCTTCTGGAATGGTTCTCTGTAGGATCATGGGAACAAAGGTGCTGCTGTGAACCAGTTTGTCTTTTAAATTGGATGTTCTTTTAAAAGAGATTGTTGGTTTTTTGTCACAGAGCGGATCATATAGCATATTCCAGTTTTTATATATGCTCTTTTTAAATTATACACTGATGTGGTTATAAAGTCAAACTGACTGTTATAATCTCATTCTGCAATTTGCTTTTGTTATTCTGTAACAGATCTTCCCTTCTGCAAGCTGTAGTGTTATCAAACAGTTTTAAAGATATGAGCTGGGTAACCCTTGGTGGCCAGATTTTGTTTTAGGGTTCTTGCCTCCCTTTGATAATCTTCAATACTGGTACAATTTCTTCTGACTCTCAATTGGCTACATTGTAAATTGTTTTTAATGTGAGTTGGATGAAAACTATTAAGCCTTAAAAAGGAGACTCTATCTGTAGGTTTTTTGTATATATTTGTTAGTCTCCTATTGCTTTTGTTGATCATGATGTCCAGAAAATTAACGTGATGTTCACTGAAATTTATTTCAAATTTGATATTATCCTGAATGTCAAGCCACCTATGAAATTCTTGCAACTGACTACAACTGCCTTTCCATATTAAGAAAATATCATCAATATATCTCCAACACTTTGTATAATAAATAAGACATCTACCACCTGGCATTGTTTCCTTTTTGAATCCTTCTCCAGACATTTAAGAACTCTACCAACCAATACCTTCTTTCAGAAAACATAATGACAATGATAGCTTAGAGCACTTCGCCACGCATTCTTCTCAGATGGTTTCTTATTATGATTTATGGCTGCTGTCCTGAATCCATTTATGCGCAAATGGGTACTTAAAAAAATTATTTTAGCTAACTTCCATACACATCTACTGAAATTAAAAGCAAGTGAAGCAGTGGAGCTCAACAGATTGCACCCTTTTCTTTGGAAAGTCAGTACTTGAGAGCCAGCATGGTGTAATAGTTAGAGTGCTGGTCTAAGATATGGGAGACTCAAGTTCAGATCCCTACTCTGCCGTGCAAGCTTGCTGGGTAACCTTAGGCCGGTCACAGACTCTCAGCCTAACCTATCTCACAGTGTTATTATGAGAATAAAACAGAGGTGAGGAAAATTATGTAAGCCATTTTGTGTAATGACTGAGCAGAAAGGCGGAGTATAAATGAACTAACTACTGCAGTCTTACCTTATATGACACCTTTCTATGGAAGGGAACTTCTCTGGCCACGGTGATAAATATTGGAATTCTGTATCTCTGTCATACAAGTACATCAAGCACTCACTGTGCCTATTTCTTTGCCTTTCTTCTTTTGCCAACAACATACTACAAGGTTCCATGGCTTCTAACAATTGTTTCTAAAGAACATATTTGACAAACATATTGCACATTAATGATCATAACACCCAGACATAAAGGGATAAAGACAACAAAATATTTTCAAATGCTGTCTTCTTTTTTGGTTACTATGTCTAATGAAAGGGTTAGACTTCCTATTCAGGCTCTGCTTGATATAAATTTTACTCAAAAGGGACCAATCTCTTATTAAGGACCACAGTAGACCCAACACTTATGATCTTTGAGCCACTGGAAGAGATCTGGAACAAGATGTGTTATCATATATTTTCTCCTCTAGTCATCATCAAAGATCATTGAAGATACATTGGTTACTATTAATCATCATTAAGGCTGATAAGAAAACAGTTTGGGGAGAGCTGAGTACAATATGAGAAGAGCACCTGCTCCCAGTCTCAAACCATGGTCAAAACAATCAGGGGTGTTATATCCACACTCGTTCCAAGTGTATTTAACGTGTAGCCTTAGTTAGACCTGTCTGCACATCCATTCAAATATTTCCTTGCCCTTGGAAATGACTAGGAGTGTGCCTCAGACTCACTCCTCACCTCGTTTTTTAAAAAAATCTTGCCCCTCTCACCATGAAAGAGTTAGGAGATTCCCCTGAACATTATTAAATTACTTTAATATGTTTAAACTTAACATGATTAAACTTCCCTATTTGGACATTATTCCTCTCCTTTCACTAGCGATGGGAAAAAGAAAGGAGCAGCATGATAGAAGTTAGAGTGTCTGAAACTAATTTCCAACTTATATCTGGGGACAGTCAAGGAATAAACAGATCTGGAGCTGGTCCAAATTTTTAAAGTAATACAGAACTATGAATCTTGTTCCTTAATACTGGGGGGGGGAGGTAAGCATTTCACCTAGATCTCTGAAGATCCATGAAGATTCACAAGGAGGCAAGTAACATGTCATGTACATATGATGACTGATTCCTCTGTAGGGTATAAGCCTTACTGATAATGCATACAAATTTCTATGCAGCAAGAATTTAAAAAGCAAACAATTCTAATGCACCAAGTAATATTTATAATGTTAGCAGTTTACTGCTGTCAAAGTTTACTTTAAAATGTTATCAAAATTTTTACCTCATTAATAAATGGGATTAACACTACAGCTTCCCAATCTTGTTGCTTTTCATTTAGATCAGTTTTAAATTCTGTCGGATAATATTCAATAATGGGAGACTCTTCACTGGTCATCAAATGCTAGGGAATACAAAAGGCAATGTTCTAAAGCAATGCACATTTCAGTCTTCAACAGACAGGTTAGAACACAATATTATTCTATTTTATTTATATGTACACCCACTTATAGAATTTTATATTTATTTTATTTTACTATTTATTTATATAACTTAGGCCCTTACAAGGGAACCAAGGTGGCTAACAATTTAAAACGTACATGATAAAATTACATTATAAAACCATTAAAATCAAACCTCCCAATATACATCATTAAAATGATTTTAAAAATGAAAACAAGTGAACACACAAACACAATAAACAAAACTATAAAAACAAGCACTTTGATTAGGGCCTAGAATCTAGCTGGAAGCCAGGGAAGATGCCCACCATCATCATATATTTCACATAGACCACTTCAGTCAATATTCTGGGGCTTGAAGTCTGGACTAATTGTAATCTTCTAACTCAGGGGTGTCAAACATGTGGGCAGCCTCTCAAAAGTAGCCCCCCCAGCAGCTTCCTTCTCCTGCCTCCTTTCTCAGAGCTGCTGCTGCAGCTGCATCCTAGCTTGCTTTTTCCCAGCTCTCTCAGTTGCTCTTTGCTTCCTGCTTCCTGCCTCTTGCCTCCCTCCCCCCTCGCTCTCTCTCACTCTCACACACACAGATAGAGAGAGAGAGACTTGTGGCTGCTTTGCCAGAGAGATAAAAAGACAAGCCTGCCTGCCTGCCCCTCCCCCCCTCACACACAGTCACGCACAGAGAGAGAGAGAGAGAGAGAGAGAGAGAGAGAGAGAGAGAGAGAGAGAGAGAGAGAGAGAGATAGATCACTTCTGCTTTCTTCTCGGGGCTGCTGCTCCTCTTTTGGGGGGGAAGGGAGGAGGAGGAGAAAGAGAGACAAAACAAAACTGGAGTCCCAGCTTTAAGACCAACAATGTTTTATTCAAGGTATAAGCTTTTGTGTGCAAGCACACTTCTTTGGAGAATGGGTGGGTAGGTGGATGGATTCTTCTGACAAGCACAGTGTACAGTGAGGAAATTATTTTGGCTTATTCTGAAAAGTTGTTTTAAAAAATGACTGGATTTCTCTGTCCTATCTGGATTTATTTTCTTTCAAAAAGACCCTGTTTAGGAATAAGAACACTTCTTTTGGTCCTTACATCTTGGAGAGTGGAGTGATTTCAGATGCCAAATGATAATAGCACACATTGGTAATGAGACAGGAAAACTAGGTCTCAATCCAATCCAGGAGGATGCAATTCAGCAGTCTCTCTTTCTAATCTCCCTTTGAAATTCCTTCGTAAGAGCACTGCTACTCTTAGGTCAGCAACTGAATGTTGTGGTTTCTAATGTCAGACTTATGTCCATTTATTCTTTACATCCTCCTGGACTGAATCCCCTACGTTGGAACTGTGACCTAGGTTTCCTGTCTCATTACCAACGCTGATATCTCCACACCAATTTCCCCTCTGCATATCACACCTAATCCAATCATAACTGCTATTGCCATTAGGCATATAAAATCATCTTTATAAATTTATATCTCTGGTACCTTGTGATATATTTTATAGCATGCATAGCCCGGCCCAACAAAGTTACATTTATGTGAGATCCAGCCCTCATAACAAATTATTTCAAAACCTCTGCTCTAACTAAAAAAAGGGGAAGGTTTGCAAAGGGAAAGAACTGAAAAACAAATCACTATTTTAATTGGGGGAGGGAGATGCTCCCCATATGAAGAAAATAAAATGCACAACAGCAAAATGAAGGAAAGGAATCCTGTACAAGCACCATAAAAGAGCAGCATTATTAACTGGGCTTAATGACACATGTGTCTTAAAATATTACAGCCTACCTGGTAGCATTTAGGTAGCAGATCTTTACTAGCTGCTGGAAGTACTGCAAGAAGTTGTTCAAATGGCATGAATGGTTTTCCTAAATCAAACTGAATCCTCAGTTTACTGATATTGTGCATATCTGATAGGTAAGGTGCATAATGGTAGGGATAGTACCTGTATGGAAGAAATACATTATTTATCTCTTTAAAATATACTGATAGATGCAAGGTAAGTAGGGAAAAACAACTGTAATAACAGAACAGGTATGTTCAGGCATGATTATTCTGAAAGATGGCTACATTAGTTGGGGTTGGGTGACGAGAAGTTCAAGCAATTGGGTTTCTCTTAAGTGGTGAGAAAAAATTATGATCTAAAATATACTTGGTCCCAAACTTTATCTCAGACCCCTCATTTGTAATCATCATCTTACCAGCTCCACGACTGAACCCCATGGTAGTAGTAATGTAATATCCACTGTATTGCCTGGGTGTAACATTCTGCCTGATTAGCCAGAAAATCACTTTAAAAGAAACAGAAATACAGATTTTGTATTATACTTTCTCCTGTGTATATGTACATTTAATTAGTAAGTAACTCCAACATCAGAAGTTCACTGAGGAATTATGCCCTCAGGTTAAAAAAAAATTTATTTAAAATTTGCCAATAGTCCAATCTACCAGCAAAATTACTGAAAAGGGTAACTTTACTTGGATATCATGTCACGAAAGTCTTACTGGTGTTTCCACATCGAAGACATTTTAGTGTTAATACTTACTCTGAAACTACTTCTACACCCATCTTCGTCATATAGTATGTTCTTTTGTACTGCCTAAATTCTGTCTCAAACAAATCATCATCTTCTGGCTCATCCTCTAATACAGCTAAAATTAGAAAAGAAATATGCTCAGCAATTAATTGTTGTTTTGTTTCCAAACTGCTGCCAATACAGAAATTTTAAAGCTGGTGCAAATAACAGGAGTTAGTGGAAGATGCCGGCAAATCCACAGTGGGTTCGATCCAATGACTCCCATTCTCCATGTCTTTCCCCAGGAAGAAGCCCTGGTAGAAGGGCATCACTGGATCCAAACCAATCTTTTAGTGTGCCTGCATGCAGATTAATGATCAACGCTGCATTACTAACTAGAGGGTCACTTGTGAATATACCGAGCTGAGAAGTCTCTCTCTCTCTATTCAACACATGCTACTTTAATACCTGAATGACTACCGTCACATCTGATCGCATTCAGGCAGGTCAAAGTGCGCCAGCGCAAAAAGCCACACCTCCCTCCCGCGTTATCTGGCCCGTGTGACTGGGGCCATGCTAAAGCAATTTGCCAGTCACTGAACTCTCAAAGGTAAGCAAAATGGCAAGTGTTTAGTAACCAGGGTTTTTTAAAAACCCTAGTATTTTAAATGTTCTTCACTTAGAGAGGGAAGACTCCCTGTCTCCTTCAGATTCCCCCAGATATTTTATATACACAAATTTAAACAACATAAGCACTGCACAATAATCTGGACTTACTTTTAGAAGTTGCTACAACCCCATTGTCAGTGTTCTCTAAAGCAGCCAAGAACGTAGCATTTTCCTGAGCCTGTTAAAATTACAGTTCATACTTTTCACACAATTACAACTCATAACAAAGCAATACACACTTAATATCAACACAGTTCAAAGCTGAAATTTCAACAGTATGAAATCAAGGATTACCTATTTATGCAAAATTTTAACAAACGTTTAGGAAAACCTTAATATATCAGGTTTAAAGAAATGTTCTTTATGAATATTACTAGTAGCAAAGCCCATTGTAAAATCAATACAACAAGCTCTAGAAAGGTGTCGACCTTGGCCTCCCCACCAAATGGCAGCCCTCCTCTGCCCACCAGCGACTCACCGGGCTCAGAGGGGGGTGCGGCAAAAGGTGAGGATGGCTGAGGGAGTGCCTGCGACAGCACCGCATCTTCACTGGGGGAAGGGGTGGCGGGCGGAGACAGCAGGTACCGGCGAGGTGCGGGCAGGCAGCAGTGGCACAGTGATTGGAAGCAGGGCAGGAGCTTTGGCTGCCGGCTGTGCATGCATTGGCTGCCTGGGCCACAGGTGCCCAACAGGTCAAGCAGCGGCTCCCCAGCGCTCCCCTCCAGCAGGGCGGGCCCGCGCTAGGCCTTGTTTCCCTGGCTTGGAGCGGCGAGGAAGGGCCCCGCTTCAGCCAGGGGCTCATCCATTGTGGGAGAGGGGAGACCTGAGGCGGCGACAGCTGCTCTGCCAAGCCTCGCACACAGCCCCTGAAGCCCTGCTCCCCTGAACGGCCACTCATGGCAACTGCTGCTGGCTGCACAAGAAGAGCTGTTTGGATCAACAGCGACGCAAGGCTCAGCCTCAGCCCGTCAGAGCGCCCATCCTGCCCGTCGCCTCGCCTTGGATGACACTAAGGCAGAGACACTGGCTGCCCCTTCTGTGGGTGGGACTCCAGCAACGCAGCCTCTGGATTGGCACACTGTTGGAGTGACAGGTCAAGGAGCCAAATGCTGTGGGAGCGTGTGGAACGTTCACCCCAAAACAGAATTATATATTAGGAGAGATCATTGAGATCACAATTCAAAGCACACATAAATAGAAACGAATTCCACATAAACGTATTTATATGCTTAAAATACAAACCATACAATTAACAACTATACAATGCTTCCCCAAACAACTTTGTGCTTTTGAAATTTATTACATTTAAAATGATGGGGGTGGGACAAGCAGGCAGTAGAGTATTAGCATAACTGTTATTTTCTGCTCCCTTTCTGAATTATATTTATTCTAAATTTAAGAGACAACTCAGCAAGCATCAATCATTTTTGAGAGATGTACCTCCTTCTGTCAGACCCACCTCCCGTGAAGATAAAGGCAAAGTAGAAGCAACACAAATGAAGTCCCATCGACAATAAGACAAAATCTCCTACAGTGCAATCTTAACCAGTGTTACACTATTATAAGTCCACTGACTTTAATGGACTCAGAAGAGCATAACTCTGCTTAGGATTGCACTGCTAGTTACTCTCAACCGTGGGGAAGCCTGCCCTAGTAACATCTATGCAGATCAGAAAATCTTACTTAGCTATCTGTGTTCTATGCCTAGTAGGAGTACTTTGGCTGTCTCCCTCTCATTTGTTCCTCTGGCCTCCATTAATTAATTAATTAATTTTGATTTATATCCACCTTGCCTGCACAGCAGTGATGCCCATGATGCATTGCCACTGAACTCCCTCAGGTCATAAGTTCAAGCCATCCTCCCTACAATTGTCTTGGCGTAGTCTCCTCCTCAACATATTGCCATATAAATATGTTTCATTGATAAAGGCCAAATGATCACATTCATTGGCCCTATTAAATATTGTAAAGACATTTGCACTAAGCACTAAAAACTAATCTTGGATTTTTAAGTCTCCATTAAGTGTTTTTTTTTTCTATACAATGATCAAAGACATTTAAACTGCTAACCTTGCGTTTCTTTTGCTTTTTTGATTCTTCAGCTGCAATGCCAGCAGCTTCATTCAGGTATTTATTGCCCACTTTGCTTTCAAACCACTTGAGATCTACAAAGATTTCACTGAAGTGTTCACGATCAAACTGTTAACAAAGAAGAAAAAAATGAAATTATATTGAATATTTGCTAAAATAAATAAAGAATGTGCAAGACATGCCACAACCACTTTACAAGATTATGAAAAGGCCACTGAGTTAGACAAATGGCAGCCACACTTGTGGTCACTTTGAGGTCACAGGGCAAGTGACTGTCCTGCCTTCTGCTGTAGTGGTCAGCAGGGGCCTTGGCATGGCAGCTAGAAGCCATTTGGGTGGGGGCATGGCAGCCTTCCTGGCAAGGCACTGGCTGTCTGGATTGGCCCAAGGGTGGGGATGGAGCAGACCTGAGGAGCACAATCACCATTTTGGTCTGCTCCTCCCCTTCATCACGCCATGCTGCTAGGGCTCAACTTCTCACTCAGATTTGGACATCCCTCCCTCAGTGATGTTCCTTGTTGCTTTAATTTTGTCACAGCTTTAGGGTGGTTTCAAGCATTGGGCTGGATCCATGGGTGGGGGAAGGCTGTGACTGCATACCTATCTCTCCTGGGTGGGGACCCCCTTAAGGGGTCTTGGGAGTTGAGCCCTGCGGCAGCATTCCCAGCTTAGGGGCTGTCACCTGGCTCCACTCCCATGTGGCAAGGGAATCACACAGAGGCTTGTACCCACATGGGTCCACTGGTTTGCCATTCCAGATTTACCCCCAGCATGCAAGTTGGGGAAGTATTCCATCGGTTGACAGAAGGTGCTTAAAAACAAAAGCATCACATGCAAAATTTCGTCTAGTAAAGTGAGGGAGCAGAATCTTTTACATAATTCTTCTTCAACACATGCAGTTTGGTGTATCCATTTTAAAAGACTGCTTAGTTCTACAAAAATTACATCAGAAGTAGCAAGTTTGTTGAACAAGCTGATTCCCCTAAGGCCATACTAGAACCATATAACAAACTGTAGTTCAACAGCAAACACAAGAGCTACTGCTGTAGAATGGTAATCTACGGAAAACTTTGAAGAAGTAGTCTATTTTTTAGAAAGGATTGTTGAAAAGGAAGGAGTAAGTTAGCTTGACTGAGACAAAGGTGTTCTAGCACAAGAAAACAAGATTTCTGATTGAAGCCAAACTTTACATGTTACAAAATTAAAAAGCACAGTATTCGTATGTAACTTGTGAAATGTAATGCAGACCCGCCCCTGTTAAACTAGATGCATATGTAGTGTGTGTGTGGGGGGGCTTCTGCCTCACATGTTACAAATTACATTTCTGGAAGTCAGGGAGAGCTAAGGCTACGGAAAGAGTGAAACTTCACACTCAAAATATGCTGCAGGCACCTGCAGTGTACCTGCTAATTCTAAATATGTAAGACAGCCTTCAAACCCCCAATCAAACCACCCTCAAGTTCTCCGGCACCTCTACCTTCATAGTAGGAAGAAATCTACTTTTTTAAATGGAAGTTGAAATTCTCAAGACTCTAAAAATAACCTGCAAGCTGAACACACGTAGGAGGCCAAATGCTGAATGGCCACTGCATCGTACAAAACTAAGGCTTTGTGCAGTACACATAAAACATACTTACATCTGACAATTTTGTAAGGTATTTCTCAAAACGCTGTAAGTTGAGGTGCCCATTTTCATTAATGTAACCTATTGAAGGGAAAAAGGCTGATTTATTTTTTATCTTACCCTCCCTCTAAGGTGGCAGTGACGCTGAACATAACTTACACCGTTCTCTTTCATCCATCAGTGGCTATTAGCCACAAGGTATAGATAGGAACTCTCAGTCTGGGGCAAGTGATGCTCTGTATTCTTGGTGCTTGGGGGGCAACAGTGGGAGGGCTTCTAGTGTCCTGGCCCCAATGATATTAACAGAACAGTGGGGATTTGAACCTCAGTTTTATCCCAACTCTTTAATCACTGTTGTAATGATTAGTAATATTTCTACAGATATTCACATGGGACTAGATCCAAGGAATTGTAAAAAGAAATACATTAACAAAAATGATTCTTTACACTTCTCTCTGCAGCCCCATAAATGCTAAATCCACCAAAAGTTGTTCCTGAAAAAGAGGGAGTTCTCAGGAACAAAGTGAATGCAACACAAGGTAATATAGCTTGACAGGAAAAGGGTAAAAATTACTCTTCTCACATACTGTGTGAGTACTTCTATAAGCAGAGCGATACCTTGCGTGAGTGTGATTTCTGCTAGCTTCTTTCAGCACTCCCCATGTCACATCTCACTCTGTTTCTAAGGATTACCAAACTTCAGAAGCAACTTTCTGAGAGGGACATGAGGCTGCAGTGGAAAAGAGGGGAGGCTTCTTTCATACATTTATTCCATTCACAGTTCATTGGATTTAATACATAGTGCCCAGGACACACAAAATGTAGAAAAGAAGCCTGTGTTTCCCAAAAAAGAACATAAAACAAGACACCTAAGATGGGGCTCATTACCATCTTTTTCCAGTCTGCCAGTCTCTAATATCTTTAAGGGCTTGCTAGAACACAGGACATTAAAATAATTACATAAGGCGGACAAGCTTACCTCCAAGATCAGGCAATACAGACATGTATGTTCTATAAAGTAATGGCAGTGCATCATGGTTAATATGCATATGAGGTAGATGAGGGATAAAATCATTTCCCACAAGAAAGCCCATTAAGATCCAATCATCTATTATGCTTTCAACTTCATATTTAAATTGGAGCTTGTCCTGTTAAATGGAGGAAGATATTAATCATTTACCATCAGTGTCATTTAACAACTTTGCCTGTAGACCACTCACTTACTTTACTTACTTACTTTAACTGGTGAAAATTCATAGTCAATATATTCTCTCATTAATGACAAGTGCAAAAGATGAAAAGTGGTTTCTTCAGGAGCACATGCTCTGTAAACCATTAAGTAAAAGAATTAATAAAATGGTAAATACTAAATCATCCAGTACCAAATAAGTACTTAAGAACATATTCGTAGCTATCCAGCATTTGTGTTTAATGTTTTTAAGTGGACTGAATATTTTCATAACAATTACCTTTGTGACTTTTTGCCACCAAATCTGACCTCTTCTCTTAAAAGGGAGAAATTTGGCTCATGGCTTGTTAGTCCAAGCATAATCTGTTAAAACAAGTATTTTGAAATGAATTTCTAGAATTAACCATCTCAGAACCCTTTTCTTGTCAACTTTAAATTCTTTACAGTAATGCTAACGTCCTGGTTTAAAAGGCCCATACTGAGAACAATGCAAGTTACTGTGCCCCCTCCCTTCAATTAAGCACCTCTCACACAGCTCAAAAAGCTGCTTCCAAAATGCTGTAGTCAAGAGACTTAGAAATCTCAATATGTATGTGGAAGTATTTGTTCAACCAGAAGAAAAATTACTTTTTGCATAATATGTATTAATATCCAGAATCTCATTTATTCCCAAGTAAACCATGCACATACTTAGAAAGGAACATACCAAGTCAGCATCTAAACCATACAGACAGTGCCTTGTATTTGGATCATGGTCAGGTTTTGCTTTCTCTGACCTAATGAATTCCATAATTTTATGTTCTCCTTCTCCTGGAGTCTGAATGAAAAGAGAAGAAAATTTCTAAATGCTGCTTTGTTAAATATTAATTGTAAGAAGCAATTATTAATATAAAAAGTAACCTCGTGTCCTGATAAGTAGACAGTTACTCCCTGCCAAGATTTGTCTGTAGAAATCTTCATGTTTACAAAATACTTCAGATGTTCGTGCAATCTGGCCATGAACTCAGTCCCTGGCAATAGAAACCTCAGAGTTATGCTTTAACACACCAAAATCTCAAAAAATGATTTCAAAAAATTCATTCAGGGAAACACTCACAATACATGTAAGGGACACACACAGTAATGTGGGATTGGACCTGATGAAATAAAAGCACCGCAGAGTTTGTAGATGTGAATCTATCTACCTCCCCCTTTTCCCAACAACTCCAGGACCTCAAAAAAATGGGGAGGTCATGAAGCCCAGGATGGAGGTTGAAGAGGGAACCAGATGAAATAGGTGGGGGTCATTCCATTCAGTTTCCTCTCCTCAGTGCTGCCCCCTTAGGCTACACAGATATTCATCCACACAATTCCCACAACCTCCAACATCAGCTTTGGAGAAGTTTCAGAAGGCTGCTAACAGAAAAGAGAGAAAGAAATATTCGCAGCAGCAAGCACAACTGTTTTGTAGGATCCAACCCTTTGAGTCATACAGCAGTAATCTCCACTAATGGTAGGGACTTTCATTAGCGGAACAGGACTTCCTTGCCTTGCCCAATACAGTCTGAAATGTTCCTCCTGGGACCTCTACAACAGCATGAGATTGTGCAATGGAAGGGGGGAAATTAGTGAAAATCCCTCCCCCCCTGTTATCAGATATCTACTGATGAACCCAATCTGTTGTCTTCTATAATAAGCAGCATATATTTAAGAAGTTTCATATTTCACACAGTAATGTGAAATGAGATTTTCAAAATCAGTAACATCACTGATTTTTTCCAGTACAATTTTAGGTAGGGGCACCTGTAAACAGAACTGAGAACAATATATGGAATTTGATGGTGCTGCTGTTTTATCTCTGCTCTTCTGCTTCTTGTATTGCTTTATTATAAACCAGTGTCACTGAGTGCTACTATAATTATTTTATTACTGCTGAATTTAGTATGAATTTATCTTCTGTTAATGTTTCACTGACTTGTTTTAGTGAGCTATAAACTGTATGTTTTAATTATTGGTGCAAAATGTCTTGGAAATTTTTGAAAAACATGACATATAATTTTATTACTGAAATTTTGCTTTTGAAACATTGGGCATGTCATAGCTCTTTCAGTATTTTCCTATAACCCAACAAAGACCACCTCAGAGATTTCCACATATTAGTGGACTCATTTATTCAACCTTCAAAACATTTATTCAACCTCATAGGGTCTGTTGTGGGGAGGGGAAGAGAAAGGAGTTTGTAAGCCGCTCTGAGACACCTTTGGGTAGTGAAGGGTGGGGTATAAATCCAATCTCCTCCTCTTCTTCTCTTCAAAAGGGAATTATTAAACTGAATTGCCATCTTAGAATTCTGCCTGACCCCCCAAATTTGTGATTTCCGGGATGAAAAGAGTAGCCCGGCTTATATGACAATGAGAATTTCAGTTTTGTACACCACATTGTAAGGTCAAAAGAAAGGGGAAGAATTTAGAAGGTGTGAATGTTGAAGGAGTTCTGGAACTTGAAGGCTTGCAAGGGATAGATTGGGGTGGTCAGCAGCATGACTGACAGGAAGAGGAGACTGGATTTATACCCCGCCCTTCACTACCCGAAGTAGTCTCAGAGCGGCTTACAATCCCTTTCCCTTCCTCTCCCCACAACAGACACCCTGTGAGGTAGGTGGGGCTGAGAGAGCTCTTTTAAGAACTGCCCTTGAGAGAACTCTGAGAGAATTTGTGACTGACTCAAGGTCACACCAGCAGCTGCATGTGAAGGAGTGGGGAATCAAACCCGGTTCTCCCAGATTAGAGTCCGTGCTCCAAACCATTACACCAAACTGGCTCTCACAAAAGAGTTCTATGGCATTAAGAATCAGAGTCCATGGCATAAATGAAGAAGGAAACACAACTAGGAAAATAGGACCTGGAAAAACTTGGTTAGGTGTCACAGCAGCCAAAGGAAGTGTGTGTGTGATGGATACAAAAGTAAGAGACAGAAGAGTTACTGTATATAAACAAGATTTATACAGGGATGGTAGTTGGTAATGTGGTTTTATTATATTATTTTTCCTTGTTTAATATACTTCATTAAGTGCAAATCTGTTCTATTATTTAAATCTTAATAAGTCTATAATCTGAAACAATCTATGCATCTAGTGCTCCATCATATCAAGTGGCATGCTATATTACTTGAGGATATCTTTGGAGTAAAGTAATTTTGGCTGTCTGTTAGTTCAGGTAACCCTGGTCTCATATATGTTTACCTTGCTGAATGCTGAAATTGTGCTGGTGTGAGCTGCTGTTGCAACTCGTAAGAGCAGTCTCATAACAATGACCTTGAGAGATCTGCTGCTCCAGAATAGTTACACTGAGTTCTATAGTTTAAGAACTTTGATATCTAAAGCTTTCAAAAAGCACAGCCTTTGATGTCAAATGAGCTACCAGATTCTTATAAATGACAAAAGAAAGGAAGACATTCTTCCTTTAGCTTAGCATGTGAAGATAACATGATACTAAGCGGATTTTCCCCACCTGGTGTAATGCAATTGGAATCAAATCTTGCTTCTGTGGGAAGAACGTCTCCTTTTTCCAATGCCTTTTTAACTTTGTCCTCTGCCTCTTTTGCTGACCTATAACATTATCACTGATTAGCATTTATTTAACACGGTAAAGCATTCAAATAACTTCACAAACACTGTCAATAATCCTCACAACATATTGATGGGGTGGGGATGGAGTAACGGTAGGTAGAACGTAATAGCTTGCTTAAGGCTGCCTAATGAATTACTTGCTGAGGTAAGCTTTGAACCTGGGATTTCCTGATACACAGTTTGCAGTGTTTATAAAGGATATAATACTTTAACTGCAAGCTATCAATGCAAATGATCCACTGTCTTCTTAATGGCAAATGATAATTAAAATATATATACACTATTTAACTGCAATTCTTGTAAAGTCCAAAAGCTGTATTTATAAAAACCAAAATCCAAAAAAAGTTAAGCATGCTTTTACTTCTATTAAAATCAATGGGTTTTTCTCAGGAATCCCTGCTCTAAAGCCATATACTTTAGCACATACATGGAATTTTCAGCAAGTACAGGCTTCCCCATCATGCAGCCCTCCTACACACATGAAGAACCTCTAAACTATACTGATATTTTAAAGTTTTAACATGGTAAGCAAGGGAACATGTACAAGAATTTAGATGCACAGTTGTTAAAAACCTAAAGTAAAAAGTGAAACAAGTATTTGAAAGTGAGTAGTACAACAAAGAATGTATAAATATAGCAAGTTTTATAGAACAAAATGATAAACAGAAGCCCTATCTCATCTCAGTGCAATTTTCACCAACAGACATCAATCAATGAGTCCAAGAAGCATGGTGAAACCAGCTTAAAAAATGCATGTACCTAAAACGTCTGGCACGTTGTTGGTTCATTTTCGCTCTTGGAGCCACTCCATCAACTGCCATAAAAAACACCTTTCTTGGCTTAATAATACGAAACAGTACTTCCAAGTAGTGAAATATATCAGCAAAGATCTTGTCTTCGGAGATTCTGAAGTGAACATCATCATCGTTAGGGTGTGAGCATTGATGAATTATGCCATTCATGTCCAGGTACAAGTTGTCAAATTCTGGAATCTAACACATACATTTAAAACCATTAGTAACATAAAGACGGTAAACAGTCATTAGTATATCTACTGATTCTATAATTCACAATGATGCCAATCCATTATAATTCGTATTGATCTCTAGTTCAATATTATATTCCACAAGTAAGGGGACCTGCGATAATCGCAGGGGGGGGGGAAGAGCTCCACGCAGAGCAGGAGGAGGAGTCAGCAGCAGCAGGTAAGCCTCGGCGATCTCCTCTTCCTCCCCCTCCCTCGGTCTCCTCCACCCCACCCCAGGCTCGGACGGCGAGGCCCGAGCGGCTGTCAGCCGCCAGGCCTCGCCAATCTCCTCTGCCCCCCATCTCCTCCACCCCACCCCATCTCCTCTTTCCCCCCTTCAGTCTCCTCCACCCCCCCAGGCTCAGATGGCGAGGCCCGAGCGGATGCTAGCCGCCGGGCCTCGCTAATCTCTTCCCCCCCTTCCCCGGTCTTCCCCACCTTACCCCAGTTCGGACGGCGAGGCCCAAGCGGCTGCTAGTCGTTTTTACGAAGCGAGGCCCGAGTGGCTTGTAGCCGCTGGGCCTTGTCGGTCCCCGCCCGCCCAGCAACCAAGCCTTTTGCTGCCCTCCCGTCCTCTGTGGCGGCGGCGGCAGCAAGGCTTCGCCCCTCTCCCCACCGGCTCTGGTTCCCCCCCCCTCCGGCTCCGGTCTCCGCCACCGGGGCTCGCCCGCACCCGTGCCAACCAAGCCTTGTCCTGCCCTCCCTCTCTCTGTGGCGGCGGCGGCGAGGCAGTTCACAGAGTGTTCCCTGCGCATGCGCAGGGGACGCTCTGTTAGTTTTGGGGGGATTTAACTATCCCCCCAATATTTTTTCCAACTTTTGAGATTTTTGTGCACACCTGGGGATCGCCCCAAATGTGCACGAAAATCTCCCTGCCCCCCAGGTGCCCCCGATGTGCGGATTTAGATATCTGCACACCAGGGGGCATCTTCGGAATTAGATATATAGATAGTATATTTGACATAAACTGTCTTACTGCTACATTCCATCTATATTTTGGACAAAGCAGTTGTAAAGAGATAAACCTGAGTGGTGTTCCTTGTTTCCGAAGAAACTTGTCTGTTTCTCGACTTGCAAGTAATAAAAATATGACCTGCTTGCAACTTGTGGAAAAGATTGCTTTCTGCAAGCATATTTTGTTCTGAGTGGTCAAGGATAAAATGAGATAGAAACGCAACCCACAGAAATGCCAAGTTGTTTTCTTTGATCTACTAACTATGGGTGTTCAAGAAGAGCCATAATTTGAACTCCCATGATGACAGAGCCAAAGACACAAGAAACGTTTGGAAAACAGCCTTTATCTCCCTCTGGCATTATTAAACACCACCCATAACTATTACTCACTGTAACGCTCATACAAGTCTCTTAAAGTAATAAATAAAATACATTTTTGGAGCTTTCAGAATCTTTATTATTTCCCTAATCTACATGATTAAAATCCTCACTGTATGTACCTGTTTAAGCTTCTTTCCCAAAGTGATATGGTCCCCATGACCCATTCCCGTCAACATCCTGGCTGCAGCACTGTATACTAGCTGAAGTTCATGAACACTTTAAGGGTAGCACCATGTAGAGCACACTGAAGTAATCTAATCTCCATGTAACCAAGGTATGCAACGAAGTGGCCAGATCTTTCCTGCCCAAGAAAGGCTGCAGCTGGCTAACCAGTTGAAGCTGGTAAAAAGCTGCTACCTGCTTATCCAGCAGTGGGCAGGAGTCCAAGAGTAGCCCCAGATTACAGACTTGTTCCTTCAAGGAGTGCAATCCCATCCACAATAGGTGACACTTCAGTTCCCGGGTCAGACCTTTCATTCACCAGTAGCACTTGCACCTTGTTGAGGTTAAGTTTCAGTCTATTAGCCTGCATCCACTCCAAAACAGCCAAGCAGTACCAGTTCAGGGTTTCTACAGCCTCCCTGAGAAGCCAGAAGTGCAAGATAGAGCTGAGTGTCATCCACATATTGGTGACAACTCAGCCCAAATCTCCAGATTACCTTACCCAGTGGTTTCATGTAGATACTGAAAGGCATAGGGGACAAGATGGAACTCTGAGAGACCAGACAGTCCAAAGGCCAAGGGGCTGAGCAGCATTCCCCAGAGCCCCTTTCTGAAACTTACCCTGCAGTTACAACCAGAACCACAGCAAAACAGTGCCTCCCACCCTAACCCAGACAGGCAGTCATTGAAAGCCTCTCAGAGGTCCAGGGGAATCAACAGAATAGCAGCATTCACTTTAACTTATGGGTCCATTTGTAATATGATGGCATGGGTGGATTTCCCCCCCCCCCTAATTTTCATGTATACATATGATCAACATTTTCTGCTGTCATACATAACAAGCATGCCAACAATCACAGACTTAATGGCATCACTGGTATAATGACTGGCACCTGAACCCTCCTATAGATACTATCTGCCCCCTTATCTTTAATGTCTGCACTACCCAAAGCCTGCCCAAATAAGAAACTTTAAGTGTAAGTGATAATATAAAACACACCATACACAAAAAACCCTTTTATAATACAAATAAAATACAAAGCTTTCAAAAGTCCCATTGACATGGATCTCATGTCACCTAAAGTTACAGAGGATCAAGAAAAAGGAAATGTCCTTACAACATGTTCTACCCCAAGCTCCTGGCTTCCTTCTAGTGCATCCAGAAATACCATAACTAGACCTGTGTTGGGTACTGGAGGTAAAAAAAACACCCTAACCTCAGACATTTATTGGGATGGTTTGGATTAGATAAAGAATTCTGTTTTATGTTAGAATGGAAAGAGATTCTATAAATGTTTGACCGTTCCCAGTAGGATGCAACTTGGAGACCTTTCTACAACTGAAGATGACACACAGCATTCTGTTGTCTGAACTACAGAGCTTTGTCAGAGGGGAGATGGAAGTGGATGGCCTTGCCTTGCTGAAGCGGCATCAGGTTTCATACCCTATTGGTACGTTCCAATTCTATGGCTGTTGTTATTTACACCTTACCAGTTTGAGAAGTTTAACTAGTATCACAACTGATTGTGAAATGCAGTTATTACTGCCACCAATGCTATGTCAACAGCACTTACTTAGAACAGTGATACTCATACAGGGGCTCACAGAACACATGGGAGGACCACTTCCCAATGTGGCATCCACCCCCATGTTCCAAGGAAATGGACAAGGCCATTATCCAGTACAGCTTGAGATTGGCAGTGGTTCCCACCTTGAAACAGCTGCCAGTGGAGGAACTGAGGATAGGTAAGCTACAAGCCCCCCTGAGAGTCAGGCCTCATGCTGGGAATGGAAGTAAAGCTCCATCTTCTCCAACAGCCCACCACCCTTCATTGCAGCTTCCACACTCCCATCCCAGCATTAGGCAATTGTCAAGAATACAGCAAGCTGGCCACAATGTGCTTATTTTATCCCCCTTTTTCCTTAGCCCTCTTGCTGTCCTCCAAGAACCTGTGCAATCTCACTGTCACCTGAGCTACCGTGTCTCTTGCTGAGGGGAGACAAAAAAGGCAGAGAGGGAAATCCCTCCCATCAGTCTAGATACACAAGCATCCACCAGTGGTGAAGAGAGACAACTCCACATGCACACATCACAACTCTGGTGATTAAAAGTGTTATAATAATATATTTATTGTAAATAATTATATTATCATATATGTGAGTTTGGTGGGTCACGTGGCTCTTCTGATTGATGGTAAATGTGAATGTGGCTCTTTGTGAGCCACAGAAACGAGTACCACTAACTTAGAACATGTTTACCCTAATCTTAAAGAAATGCACAATGTCTTGCAATTAGTAATGCATCATAATGCAAATAGTGCATTTGTTCTACAAAATGATACTCTGAAACTATTAATACTGTTCTTTTGACACTCAGGTCTTCTCAGTACAGTTTGTTTTACTAAGTGCCCCCAGATACGAACGGAAGCCCTGAAAATGTTGTCTAAAGGTCTCATAAGCACCATGGAAAGCTTGGGTATTACTACTTGCTCCAGAAGGACATTTCCCCTCACAGTGCCCAATAACTTTCAGAATTGAATTCGAAGGAACTTATTTATGAGTATGTATGTTCAGGATTGTATTACACACAGTACTGGGTGTCACTATGGTTAAGTTCAGATGATACTTCAAGAATCAGAAACAAGATGTTGGTTCCCATGCTTCTGATAAATAGGACTTCCCTTTTAGTACCAAATTTTGGTTGTGACATTCAATTTAGCAAAGTCCATTTTGAACTTTCCTGCCTACCAAGTATCAGAAACAGACTTTAAACAATGGTGTCCTATTCTGGTTTGTAGCAAAAGCACTAACCATAGTCAACAGATTAAATAGCATCGTTAACTGTTGTCAAAAGTAAGAAAAGGAAACTGAAAGGGAAAACAGAAACAGAACACAGGAAGGAGTGTGCAAGCACACAGCTTGTTTCAAATCATCCAAGGAGAATAATCTGAATGAAGCCTCTCTCCCTCAGCCTAATATAACTCACATTGTTGGAAAGCTAAAATACTATACTTCCCCTCATCAGGATACAAATAATCTCACTGACCCCAATGCTCAACAAACAAATAAAACATTCGGATATTCAGTACCTCTCTAGACACTTTATAAAAAATTATTTCTTAGAAACTGAACACTTTTAGGGAACTGAAAGATAAAAGGGCAGAATAATGTTAAATACATTTCACTGTTGCAAACTTTGTACTTCTTTACTTGAATCAAAATGGTACAATACAGACAACAGAAACGAATGAAAAACAGGTTATGGAATGTTTCTAATGGAAACAAAACTGCAATTTAAATAAAAATATTGCAGTGCTGTGATCTAAAACGAAGCTGACAAGTGTTTTTCCCAGCTGTGTTATTTTAACCCAGTGTCGTAATTCAAAGCAAACCTCACACACACAAAAATCTAAATAGTGAACTACAGCTAGTCATACAGCCTAGCCCAATGCCTATCAACTCAGAAATAAATGGACATAACATTCCTGCCAATATACCGAATAGTAACTATCCAAATAAAGTGATTGTTTCGGGAATTGTGGGATTATGGAACTCATGACAATACTTTAAAAAGCAAAAGTGTCTAGTTTTTATATTGGCTTAAAGCAGCTATTATGAATGTGCTTTAATTGGTTACCCGAAGATAGCAAGCAGGCCACAGTAGCTGAGCAACTGAAGGCTTTTAGGTCAGGCACAGCAGCGTAACATAAAAGCCCTGTTCACACGTTACACTGAACACATGTACTTTTGTGAACGCATGTATAGCTTTTGGTAAGAAATAGCCAACCCACATTCACTTTACAAATGAAACCAGGCTCCAGCAAATGGATAAATGTGTTGTTTCATTCAGCTGAATGTGAGCATTACCCAGCACATGTATAAAGAAACAACAAGTGCACCCTGTAAATAGAGTCTATGTATGTTCACTGTAACTCATGAACAGGGCTACCATCTCTGGCAATTGAAAAGCAACATAAGATATATGTTCACTGTAACTCATGAACAAGGCTACCATCTCTGGCAATTGAAAAGCAATACTTGAACCATCAAACGAAGGAATTGGAACGTCTTTTCAATCTACTTCCTCCACCTTCCCCTCACCTACAAAACCTGGACCGCTTGTATAACTGGTGTGCTTGCAAGTTTAACAGAAAACACACGCAGATGTAAGACGAACGTATTTTATTAGATGAAATTCTGATGAAGAAAAAAATAGCCTTTATTCAGTTACAGGTGTGCTTGCAAGTTTACCAGAAAACACACGCAGATGTAAGACGAACGTATTTTATTAGATGAAATTCTGATGAAGAAAAAAATAGCCTTTATTCAGTTACAGGGGGGATCCTTGTTCCGTTAAAATAAAATAAACGCACGTTCTAGCCAGTTGCCGATATGAACATGTTTATTTATTTCTGTTAGCTTATAAGGCGCTTCGCGTATTAAAGTCAAACTGCAACGTTACTCGGAGTTCCCGGGTAACTTTCAACACTTCGTTGCCGGGATTTTAAAAGGAACGCACAGGAATGACGGTTGGAGAAGGAGGCATTGCTATTAAACTCTTTTCAGCTCAAAATTACCACCCCCACCCCCTTCTCGGCCAAGAGCTACGAGGGACCGGAACACGCTGCCCAGTCAAGGAGAGAAAAACGGACCGGAGTACTCCAGGGAACCTCCTCAGTTACCCAGAAATGCCAGCCTGAGAGTGTGTGTGTTCGCCGAAACTGGGTCAGTCTCAATGCACACACGGAACCGCTTGGTGCTGCATATGTAAAGCCGCTGCCCCAGCCTCAGGCACATCCAGGCAGGGTCTCTCCGGCCTGGCAAACAGACTGGGTCACTCGAGCAGCCACGGTCGGAGGCAGAAAATGCCGGGAACGATGCCCTCGTTGCCCAGTAAGGGAAGACACCACCACCCCCCTCCTCCTCCGTACACCACCCTCCGAAAGTGGGGAAGGGCAGAAGAATTCCCCAGCCACTCCTCACCTGATGCTCCTTCAGCACCTGACTGAGGCAGGGATACCGCTCCGAGATCCACCGGTAGAATTTGGGCACCCCCATGGTTGCCGCTGTCTGTTCCCCTCAGCAGCCCGCTCAAGCGCCAGCCGTGTCGGATCCAAAACAACCACCTCTTCTCATAACCAAAACACTTCCTTCCGGCGGGAACCCGAGACTGCCATAGAGTAGTCGCTCAGGCTCAGAGCGTCCGACGCTGCGTCAAACGCTCAGGCGGGCTGACTGGGGAACGCTTCCCCCTGCTGGAAGATTTGCGGGAGCGGCACGCTTTGTATCGCCACGCTTGCGCGGTGTTGGGGCGGTAGCGCTTTCTGCCCCCGGGCAGCTCTCCTTCCTGCAGCGCACTACAGGCAGTTCGCGGGGGCTACTCGGAACCCCCACAGGCACAGATTCCATGTTCTAACTCCAGCCTCTGAGGTGCTACTGGATTCAAATGTGATTCAAATCAAATGACACAACAAAACAAATCACTCGGGTTTGTTGATACCATTAATACAAAAATATTCTATTAGGTAAGAAACGGCAAAGGGAAAGGGACAAGATCACTAAAGAATAGATTTTACTTATGACTTTCACTGTGTAGATCGCGATAGGATATGGCTCAAAAACAAAACAAAAAAAGCAAGTAGAATCAGGTAGACTTGCCAGCCAAGGGACTAGGGATGCCAAAGTCCAGGAAACTGGGGAGGTGTGAAAAGTTATTTTGCTACAATAGACTAATATGGCAACCCTTCTAGAATTATGGTTAAGATCGCCACTTTTTCCTACTGCCACACAGGAATTGATGGTGCACCTCTGTCCAGGGAGGCGCTGAAATAAGTAAGGAAAGCTTCACCTGTTAAATTGTGACACACAACATTTTCAGCAAGAAAGTGACATATGCTCACAAATTACAATCGAGGGCAGATGGACAGTGGGGCGCTTCTAGGACGGGGCGGATTTCAGCAGATGCTGCTTTTGTCTCCTTTCCAGAATGAGCCACATCTTTCTTTTTCTCCACATTTACTGAAAGTATAACAGCTTTGTTGTCCTTTACCACTGAACATACAACTACCACCACACACCTTAAACCACTCAGGAAAAGGCTCATAATTTGGCAAGTGGGCACACCTGAATTTGTAATTTTATTTTTTAATCCCATCCTTCCTACAGAGAGCTCAGGGCAATATTCCTTTCTGCCAGCCTCTATTCATTTTACCTTCACAACAAATCCATGAGGTAGGCTGAGAGGTACTGACAAGCCCAAAGTCACCCAGGGAGCCATAAGGGGGAGCAGTCCCCCACACGCACATCACACTGCCAATTTGGCTTTCAATAGGGCCCAATATACATAATTCCCAAATAAACCACTGGTTTAACCTAGGGTACAGATACTTTCGTAGCACTACAGTCTAATCAAGAACAAAGATGTTCCCCTCAGATGAAGGGAATCGTTAGCAACATTGCTCCCAACATATACCTGACTAAGCAGGGCACACTTGCTGGGAAGTGGGAAACCCTTTTTAAATCAATAAATACTACTGATTTTACAAAAAGAACGACTGAAACAAAAATATCTAGCCTCAAACTGTTAAGTAGCTTGACAAATTTTTCTTCCCAGCTTTGTTAATCTGACCACAAGGAAAAGTGGTAAAAAAACTACAAGGCTGATCACCGTTTAGAAAGTCAATCTACAGACCAATAACTTGTTCAGAACTGGTTGTTTGTTTAGTAAACAAGAAAAAGTCACACTTCAGTAACTTTGGTCAATATTCAATAGGATAAACACAAAAGTTATTCAAATTAAGTGAATTTCTTCAAGAAATAAACAGTATCACCTAGGGTTGCCAACCTACAGGTGGAGCCTGGGGATCTCCCACTTTTACAACTGAACTTTAGCTGACAGAGATCAGCTCCCCTGGAGAAAATGGCTGCTTTGAAAGGTGGACTCGATGGCATTGTATCATGCTGAGGCCCCTCCCCAAACCCCGCCCTCTCCTGGATCCACCCCCAAAGTCTCCAGGTATTTTTTAACCCAGACCTGGCAACTCTAGTATCACCTAACCAAAGATCATTAATCCACATACTGTTTTACCCATCCTTCATTAACATACTGATTTCATAAGTAATTTACTTTCATTATTGCTTAATTTAGCCATTAGCATCTGAGAGTTACTTCACATTACTTTTTGTACTCAGATCCTATCTCAAAAGTTTAAATCACAGACTAATGTAGGAACTGAACATATGTATACATCTCAGCTTTTACTAACAACACAATCAGAATAGTGCTGAAAAAAACTGACAAAACCTGCCTTAAATATTATTGCCAGAGAAAAGCTGCTTTTTTAGACAGGACAGTAGATTTAAGATAAGCACCTTTGTTTGAATACAATCGCAGCTGTTTAACTTATTTACTTGGCAAGAAAGATACTGCCAGCAATCACACTGATGGTACTTTATATTCAACGAGTTTTACACGGGTTGAAATCCTATCCATACTTGAAGTTCCCACCGAAATAACTAGGACATACTTGTATTTTAAGTAGTACATTTATAGCATTTCTTTTTTGAAAAGGGAACATTAAATCAGTTTAAGTGAATGAGAGTTTAAGTATCCTTATGACAACTCATATCTATGTTTAATTTTACACTGAATGGATCCAGTATTGTACATGAAGCACTGGCAATGCAGCATCGCTTGTCAGTCATAGGAAGAGCCCGGGAGCTGGGATTGCCAACTTTTAAAGGCCCAGCTTATAAGAAACTTAATATACAGATATTAACAGGTGATGTTTGTGCCTTTGCCACAAAACACTTTACATACTGAGTTCTGCAACCAAGTCACTAGGTACAGAGTGTACATTGCCTATGAACCTACCTCATTAACAAAGCATGGGATACTAAAATTGTATGTATAGAAATGAACCAGGTTTTAGTATAGATTTAAACTATAATGAGCTCTTTTGTGGAAACCATAATTCAAACATCTCTGCTGTCATACGGGAGGAAGGTACCTGCTCAAGACTAGGCCTTCTGTGTAGCAATTCCACCTCCCCACTTTCCCTGATGCATGGCCTTTTGAGTTTTAGGCATCAGGCCAAAACTTTGTTTACTTGAAGATCTGGCTTTTGTAGGAGCATTTGTGTAAGGAGGCAGGGATTGTTTTTTGTGGGGTTTTTTTGGTGTATACTTTATAATTTATTGATTACATGCTTTTTGTTAAGCACAGATGTGATTCACTTTTTAAAAAAATGTTACTGTTTATTATGTGACTGTGTGGATTGTCTCTGCAAGCCACCTTATAGCTAAAATGCAGAATAGAAGTCTATTGAAATAAAAACATTCCTTGGGAGCTGGGGGATTTCCAGAAGCAATGTAGAGATGTCAACTGGGAACTGAGACAAAAAGAACACTGAGTGTTCTTTAAGAAGCTCTCTCCATTGTGCTCTGTGTTTGAAATAATTCTTAACTCTGCCTAACAGGTACATTAATAGAACTAAAATAATAATGCTACTCTCAGAAAGTTTGGCCTTGATAATTCCATATATAAAAATCTGAAACATCTTTTAGTAAACGCACTGTATTCAAGATTTTAAAATAATGACTCCAACTCTACAATAATTTTTACAAATGGCTTTTACATACATAAATATTACTTTCATTGTTTATATTACATACTTGTACTAAAGATACACAAACACTGAAACGTAAACAGAGCCTTGCAGTGGCAAAAATTTCCAAGGTAAAAACTACAGAAAATCCTCCAGTTTCTTTTTTTAAAAGCCCTTTTACAAAATTATTAACAGCATCATTTTCGAATGGCATCATTTTACATGTATGGAGCCCAGCCAAGATACATCTGGCACATCAAGTTTTCATCAGTAGCATCTTGAATGAGATGGTGAACATGCCCTTCAATCGATAAAGGCAGGCCTTTTACTCTATTCCTGTTTTTAATCACACCCTGCAGTCGTTGATCTATATCCAGGACATGGGTCTTAGCCTAAAAACGAAGCAAAACAATTGTCATATATTAGCAACTCGGATGATACAAGATGCTATTAATGCAGTAAAATTATATCCCTTCGTGACAGCACCTGCATTTCCCCTTCCACATAAGAGAAAGCAGGGTGCGGGGGGGGGGGGGGGGGGAACAGACACACATTACCAGTGTCTGGGAGTCCAGGGGAGCCTGGCCTGCATTGCAAGTGTGTTATCATGATATGGTTTCATTACATTATTTGAGAAATATACATTTATATTTCATAAACACACACAAGAATACTTTTCAAAACTCTTCTTCACTTTTTCAAGAGGCCAAATGACTTACTGTTTAATCTCCTGAGACAAGCAGGCATAAAATATGCCTCAGAAGGTTATAGTTTTCATTATAGTTATATTTCCAAAATATAGATATGACTATGCAATAAGAATCAAGTATATTTCAGGAAGCCTGAATGACAAAGGGCACATTATTAATATGATCTTCATATATGTGCACCTTAAAAGCAGTTCTTACATATTGTTCCCACAAACCTTTCCCACCTGCATACCACATTTGAAATTTCACTGCATAGAATTTAAAAATATTTTGGCAGATGATGTGAACTAACATTCAGGTCTGGTATTATGAGTTCTGTTTTTTACAACTGACCTTTTCATTGACAATTTCTCCAGTTTCATTCACTTGGGCTTTTGTATTGCCTTTCACTGGTTTACTCCATTCCACCAGAGGATCATGGAGAAAAGTCTTCAAGACACTGTATAAATACAAATAAAATAAATTGCTTGAGAAAATACCTTGAGTTGTAACTGTATACTGAAGAAACTCATAAATACGACTTGCTATGGTAACCACACAGTCCAGTTGATTACTATGTTCATCTTTGTAAATGCATGTATATTCACAGGTAAAGAAATTGGCTTGGATCTTAGCTACATTTTGTGCTGACAGAAGGGACTTCCACCAGTCATGGGCAGGGGGTGGTAGTGAGTGACCTCCAATTCTCCACTTCTATTGCAGACCCCACTTCATTCTCTATGTTATTCTTCAGGTCCACTAACAGAGCAGGATGAAGTGAGAAGCTGTGAAGTTCTCTTTTGCTAGTGAAGCTGTATTGCATAGTACAGGA